ATCCTTAGTCTTTATTGTTTTAAATTCTCCTGTGATCTTTATAATTTCTTCTCCATATATGTTTGGGGCTTTATTTGCCTTTCTTTTTCTAGAAGTTGATGCTCAACTTTAGGTTATTTACTTGAGCTTATCTTTTTCCAATATGAGGATTTACTGCTGTATATTTCCCTTGTAGGACTGCTTATGTTGTGTCTCCTCAGTTCTGGCTTGTTGTATGGTCACTATCATTTAATTGTGGAAGCTGTCTACTTTCTTCTTTAATTTCATCTGTGACTCATTGGTTGCTCAGAAGAGATATGATTTAATTTCTGTATATTTATGAAGTCCTTGTGGTTTCTTTTGCCCTTGATTTACACTTCATTGCAGTGTGGTATGGTAATAGGCATGAAATAATTTCAATTTCTTTGCCTTCACTCAACTGTGTTCTACGAGCTGATATGTAGTCTATCTGAAAGAATGTCCTGTGTGCAAGTGAAAGGAATGTGTATTTTGATGTTGAGGGGAGAACACTGTAGGCATCTACTAAATCCATTTGTTGATTACCCCTTTTTGACAGTAGGGTATTGAGGTCCCCCATTACAATTTTATTAGTGCTTATTTGATTTTTCGTGTCTGTTAATATTTTTATTTTTGGGGCTCAGCAGAATAAGCACTTCCCTGGCAAGCGCAAAGGCCTGAGTTCAATCCCCGGTTCCACAAAAAAAAAATAAATAAATAAATAAAATAAAATAATATATATATATAATTTATTGTATTTTAGGGAAGGGTCTACAGGGTGTTTAGGGTCTCACAACTAGATTGGACTCATAGTGATCCTCCTGTTTACAGCCTCCCAAGAGCTGGGATTACAGGCATGCACCACCACTTCCAGTCTCAATTGCCGTCTCAGAGCACCGCAGGGGTGGGGCCAGCATGGCAGGCCTGGGGATTGAACCCCCAGCCCCTGTGCTTGCTTGCAGGCACTTTAATCCACTAAACTATTTGGCCGGCCCTGTTAATATTTTTATATGGTTAGGTGTGCTGGTTTGGGGCATATATATTTATGACTATTGTCTCTGTCTCTGTCTCTGTCTACCTCTGTCCGTCTGTCTGTCTGTCTCTCATCCTTTCCTTTGCAAAGATGTAGTGACTTTGTCTCTTTTAATCAGCCTTGATTTGAAACCACTTTTACTACAAATAGAATGGCTACCCCTGATTTTTTCCAGGTTCCTGTCATATGAAGTATTGTTTTCCAACCTTTGACTTTCGGTCTATGAATTTATTTTTGAATTAAATGTGTTCACCATATTATTGGGTCTTGCTTCTTGATCCATTCTTCCAGTCTGTTTCTTTTGATTGGTGAGTTGAGACTATTGACATTGATGGTTACAATTGCTATGTATTGAGCTATCCTTGTCATGTTATTTTCCTTTTGTTGATTCCCCCCCACCACCACCATTTAATTTTGTTTGCCTTGCCTGGTGGATTCATTCCGTTAGAATTCATGAAGTTGTATTCTTCATTATCTCTCTCTCTCTCTTTTTTTTTTTTTTTTGGTGGAACCAGGGATTGAACTCAGGCCCTTGTGCTTGCCAGGCAAGCACTCATTCTACTGAGCCATCTCCCCAGCCCCCTCATTATCTCTTTCTACAATGTTCTTCAGAAACTTTTGGAGTGCTGGTTTCATCATGAATTTCTTCAGGTGTTCTTTATCATGGAAGTATCTTCTCTATCAATTTTGATAGACAGTTTCATGGGGTACATCAATATAGACTGGAGGTTGTTTTCTTTTGGGGCTTGAAATAATTCACTCCCAGCTCTCTGTGACTTGAGGGTTTGTGCTAAGAAGTCTGCTGTGATTCTGATGTGTGTTCCTTTTAGGCAATTTACTTCTTTTCCTTAACGGCTTTTAACATTCTGTTCTTGTGTTGAATTTCCAGAATCTGGACTATTATATGCTTGGTGTGGAATTTTTTAATATGGATAACTGAAGTTTTATATGCCTCACTTAACTGTATGTTAAAATCTTTTCCAGGGAAATTTTCTGTCATTACTCTGTGAACAAGTTTGTTTTGGTTTTTTTTTTTTCAGGTTTTTATGTTATCTGTGCCATCTCCTACTTTTTCACTGACTCTGATCAATCTTATTGTATTCTTCTTTACATCATCTAGCAGCTGTTGCATTGATTTTTCCTGCCCACCCCCTGATATTTTTAAGAAATCTTTCTTTTTGTGATCACTAATTGCCTTCTTGTCATTTAGATCTGACATTCTGTCCTCACGTTGGCTCATCCTGCTACCATATATTTTTGTTATGTGTGTGTAGTTGTCCCTTCAAAGCCTCATGCAGTCATTGAGATGCTGTTCTACAGTTTGTAATTAATTCATGATCTAAGGCTGGGATTATGGGTCTGAGTACTCCTGGGATTATGGGTGTGAGTGCTACACCCAGCCTGGAGCTGATAGTCTGAATGTAATGTAAGAGAGACAGAGACAGACTGGCTCTCTGTAGCCATTGTCGCTGCTACTCCTCCTTTTTGCTCTCTGCTCTTTGCTGCCACCATGACCAGCTGCCACCTGCCATGTGCCGCTCTGCCTTGGAGCCAGCTGAGTATGGATTGCAACCTCTAGTAACTGTGAGCTAAATAAACCTTTCCTTCCTTCATTTTGTGTGTTGGGTATTTGTCCCAGCAATGAGAGAAGAGTAACTGAGACGACTTTCAGTGGACTTGTTACTCCATTGGATATTTGTTTGACTCTGTTTCATGTATTTCATTTCATTCTTCTTTTGAGTGCTCATAGTTTCCATCATTTTCCTACATGTCTCTAGTTTTTCAAATCTCTAGAGTCAATAACCATGCTTTCGTTTTGGTCACCATCTCTGTAGTTGTCTGAGCAACTACTTCTGATTCGATTTTTTCTAGAGTCTCATTCATCTGCTTTGTTACTTTTGCTGTTATTACTTCAGAGAGCCCGGGGGTGGCTTTTGGATTGCTGCACCTCATCACCTCCTAGGTGTGCCTTTGATGAATTGGAAGTCAGAAGTTGCATCTTGCTTAAATGTCTTCCCACTTTCAATTTTTTTGGTTGACTCCTTGGGTTCATGGTTATGAGTTGCTTATGCCAGGTGACTTTATAGATAGTATTTAGAACCCTAAAGTAATGAATGTTTCTCAGGAATATCATTCAGGTGCAGCTGGCTTTTGGGTTTTGAGTCTGTTGTGAGATTCTAGCTCTTGAATTGATCGTGATGTGCGGTTGTTGCCTATTTGGCACAGCCCCTGGTTCTCTGGCACCGGCCTAGAGTATTATTACCCTCAGGCAATCTCAGTTTTGCTATACCAGGAAGGACAACTGATTAGAACAATGATCTCACCTTGGTTCATGTAGTACAATCAGCAGTAACAATAGCATCAAACACAGCCTAGCAAATGATAAACTGAAGAAACTATTAATTCTCCTCCTTTACCCATGTGAACTGTATTTGTGCTTATATAACAAAACTTAAAACAACCTAGAAAATTGTGTATAGTAAATATGCCTCCCATATGGCAATTTTACCCTCTGGGGAGAAAATTTAAAAGGGATGAGGGGGCTGGTGAGATGGCTCAGTGGTCTAAAGCACCTACTTAGAACAAGTTTAGCAAAGCACAGGGATCGCAGTTCAATCCCCAGCACCACATGCCAGCCAGCCCCGCTCCCTGGTGGGCTGAGCTGGCCACACACACACACACACACACACACATAAATAAATAAAATTTAAAAAATAAATAAATAAATAAATAAATAAAAGGGATGAGGGGAAATTTTTGAGTAATAAAAGAAGAGTAAGACATTAGAAGCAAAGCTGGAGGATGAAGGACAATTACACCAACTTCGGAAAACTGGTGAAAAAAACAGAAGGGAAAAAGAGAAGAAAGAAATAAAGGAACAGACTAGAGCAACAACTACCAAAAACTCAAAGCACTGTTCATACTCATATAAAAACAAGAACAAAAATCAAGAAAAAAAAGAAAAAGAAAAAAAACCCACAGAAATGAAATATAAGAAAAAGAAAAGAAGAAAAGGAATGTCTTTCAGAGCATGCTTCTGCTGTCACCGTTAGACGGAATGGGCAAACAGAGCCCAGATCCATGTGATTAATCCAGCAACCTGGCCCATGCTAATCATGGGGTGGTGGGTAATCCCAGGAAGCCTGCCCTTTTAGTTGCACTGGAATTCGGGCTACTTTCTGGCTGTGAGGCTGGCACCTGATTTGTTCAGCCCACAACCCTCCACAGGCCTCCTGCTGGCTTCCATTCAGCTCCTTGACTCAGTTCTCTCTCCCTCTGACTCTAGAGCTGCTAGGTGGAGCCAGCTCACAGCTGCTCGGTGTTCCCAGCTCATTTGGCCCCTCTCCAAGAGGGCTAGTGGCCAACTGCCCTCTCCTGAGGGACATCTGAGCCTGACTAACTCACCAGCCACTGCAGTCTGCTGGGTCCACTGCTCTGTTCCGCTATTGGTACCTCCTTGGAGGACTCTAGGGTGGCCAGTAGTCACTTTGCTTCTGCAGGTTCAAGCCCCCCTCCCACCAGTGAGTCAAGGCGCAGGGAGAACATGCGGCTTGCCACCTCCTTTCTGCATTGACGTCTCTCCCTTTGCTCTCACTGTGGGCTCCAGTTCTTACCTCGGATCCTTGTTTGGCCCTAGGGCCTCACCTCCCTCCTTCTCTCTTCCTCATGTTGCTGTGGTCCAGTGTCTGGACACCAAATCCCCGAGAGGCTGTCCCTCTGATGGCCAGCATCCCACCATTTTCCCAGAAGCTCTCAGGTCTATTTTTTGTCTTCTGAGTGATTTGATCTCTCTCTCTCTCTCTTTCAGCCCCAGCAGGTTTTTCTTCTGGGCCAATATCCACATCCCTAACTTGAGCCACCTTTCCTGGGAGAGGTCTCTGGTGCCATCCGGAACCTGAATGAAAGCCTCCAGCTCCCTTCTCTGAAGGCAGCCGGGGGCCTCCAGGGTCACCTGTTCCTTTCTCTGCAGGTGTGTGGACACGATGATAAAAGCGCTCACATCAAGCACCATCAAGAACTTCTACCTGGCCGGCTGCCAGGTGAGAAACCTGGCTTCTGGGCGGTGGGCGCGGAGGGCCGGCGAGTTTGAAGAGCGCCTCAGAGTCTGAGGTTCTGCCTGCCAGGCCCAGCTCCAGTGAGTTCATGCCTAGGCGCCAGTTTAAGGGTAGAATGATTTAATTTTGCTAAGTGAATACATTTTTTAAAACATCTATTTTTTGGGCTGGCCAAATAGCTCAGCAGATTAAAGCACCTGAAAGCAGGAGCTGAGACCAGAGAATCACTAGGAATCTGAGCTGTGTAGCAAGACTCTGTGCCAAGTAAATAAAAGATTTTTTTAAAAAAAGGTAGGGAGGGGACAACTTTAGGGTAGGAATCAATACTGGTGACCTTTCCCATCACTGAGATACAGTACCTACAATTTAAAGGAGAAGAGCTTTAATTTAGCTCAGTGTCAGGAAGTGACTCAGTACATAACTGATAGGCTCCGAGGCAGAAATCTCATGGCAGAAGGATGTGATGGAACAAAGCTGCTTAGTTCACAGCATCGAGGAAGCAGAGTAGGAGAAGAGTGTCTGAGAAATGGGTGGAGACCGTATACTGCACCCGAGGCCAGACCTCACGACCCAGGTGGGCGCGTGGAAGAGCCTGCTTTATCAGTGTGCTTAGCGTTCCTTAACCAAATGAAGTCGACACATCAGGATTCATAGCCACCAAGAAACTTCCTTATCAAAGTACAAAAACCTTCCAGAACATTCTTTCTGGAACCATGAGACCTTGTCCCACCTGGGCCCAGTGTGCCAATGTCGAGAACAAGTGATACAACCACCTTTCAGCCTCACAGGAGAGGAAAGGTACCAAGTGCCCGGGGTGCTGGGCTACTGAGGAGAAGTTCCTCCGACCCCTGCTCCCTCTCTCCTCCGGATTGCAGCTCCCTCCCTGGGGCCACCATCAACCTAAAGACACTCATTCCCTGAGACAGACTCATGTAAGGGAAACACCCAATCTGAGCACTGCCAGCGTGCCAGGAAGGTTCTTACTGCCACCTCTACGAATATTCTAAAGGCCTGCTTGCCAAAACGGCCATGCGGTCCTCACCTTTATGGTGTTAAAAGTCACTCTTAGTGACATCTTTCCATTATGGTCATTGTCCCCAGGCCCTGAAGACATACAAGGTGTGCTAATATTCTCTCAAGGTCCCTGGCTTCTGGGAGCCTTTTCTATGGCCCCTGTCCTTTAGTTTTTGCTTCTACAATGTGTAATATGATGGTCTCAGAGCTCCACATGGAGTTTCCCTCCCATGCCCTTCCAGGTCCGGTTTCTGATCCCAGTCTAGGTATTTCAGCGTTCAGAGTGTGTGGTCAGGCAGCCTGAGTGTCCAGCTCAACCGCTTACTAGCGCATAACTGCAGGAAGAGCTCAAACCTGGCAGCCTTAGTTTGTCCAGTAAAGTAGGTGTAATAGGGAGCTGACCTCCCAAGGTTACAATGAAGATTGGTTTAAATCACACAACTGCAATACCCTGAGCATAGTAAATGTCTGCTGCTATAATTTGCATGTTTTGCACAGATTTGGTATTATCCCTACAGCAAGACATTTCCCAAGCATGCCTGTAGCATCACTGAGTACCAGCAGAGGGCGCTAAGAGTCGGTTCCTTCATCAAGGGGCTTGCTTTGCTTTCTCAGTACAAAGACGAACGGCTCATCAAGGCCTGCGAGAAGTGGCTGGAAATGAATTTGGTCCCTCTGCTGGGGACACAGCTCCACCTCCGCCATATCCCACAGGATCTTCTCCACAAGGTGCTGCAGTCACCCAGGTCAGAGCTGGTTTGGGAAGTGCTGGCTCCAGGATGGGCATGGGAGGAAGCCAGGATGGGGAATGCTTCAGTGAGGGCTCTGCCCAACCCCTGCTGGCCTTGTCTGTGTCACCATCACTCGCGATTCGCAGCCTTCTGCTCTCCCAGATAACCTGGTCCCTGGTGGGAGTGGACCCTCAGGGTAGTGTGAGATAGATTGACCTAAGCAAGAAAAATGACCATCCAACATGACCAGAGTAATATTTTTTTCAAAGTCCTGATGACAATAATGCATGTCCTTGTGAAAAGTTTGCAAAGCAGAGAAAGTCAGGAAAAGGAGAAAGAAACTCTCACACTAAATCATTTGCTATTTCCAGCCCTGATTCCTCTGTTGAGTAGTGTGGTGCCCAGATGCCTACCTGCTTGATCCTGTGGACCGCTGAGACTAAAACCCAACTCACAGTGTCTCTTGCCCTTGCTTGTATTTCCACCCACCCACTGTTCCTGGCCCATCCACTGTATGCTTAAGTTGTAGCCTGGGGAGCCCTCTGGGTACCACTTTGACTTCACCTTGACCACAAGAACACTTCCGCTTCCAAACTAAGTTCAAGCCTACGGGCCTCTCTCCATGGGCACCAGCCAAGGCCAAACTTCCATAGTCTGTCATCTCAACCACTAGCTCAGTGTCTTGGTTCTGGTCTTGTACCCCTTCCGAGCACATCTGGTTCCTGCATCCAACGCACCAAGCAGCAGTCAGGACGGGCCTTCCTTAGCTCTTCTCAGGCCTCGGTATACCTGGTCCTTCTGCCTCAGATACTTGACACTGCCAGCTCCTCTGCCTCTTGCCAGCAGTTCATAAAACCATTTCTAGTTGTTGACTTTTCTATTATTTCCAGGGTTCTACCAATATAAACATCCATCAAGGTTCTACCAATCCAGATGTCTACCTTGATGGTGAATATCCATCAAGGCACATTTTTTTCCCACACAAGATGATTTTCCTGCATTGCATTTTTTTTCTTTTTCTTTTCTTTTTTTTTTTTTTTTTTTTTTTCTTTTTTTGGCAGAACCAGGGATTGAACTCAGGCCCTTGTACTTGCCAAAGAAGCCCTTATTCTACTGAGCTATCTCCCCAGCCCCTGCATTGCATTTCTGCAAGTGAAATTACTACAACGAAAGGACTTTCTATTTGCAATTAGTCATTAAAATACTTTATTGGAAAGTGATTTGGGCATCTGGGGATATAGCTCAGCAGTTTAAGCATCTGGCTAGCAAGCACAAAGTCCCGAGTTCAATCCCCAGTATTAAAAAAAAAAAGTTTTCAAACTTAAGGAAAAAGAACAATACAAACAATATCTATGCAAGGACCAGCCAAAAAGCTCAAAGGATTAAAAAGACTGCAAGCAGGTGCAGGGGCCGGGGGTTCAATCTCTGGCCCTGCAGTGTGGGTCCCACCCCTAGTGAGATCCTGAACACTCTGTAGCCCCTTCCCTAAAATACAAAAAAAAAAAAAAAAAAAAAAATCTATGCAGTGTTTCCTCCACTTGTGATGGACTTAATTCCAAGTTTAAGCCACTTGCAAATTGAAACACCTTAAATTAAAAAAAAAAAATCATTTATCTAACTGCCCCCCCACACCATGGACACACAATGACACAGTCCATACTAGGGAATCAGTTGTTCACTGCCCTGGTCTCATGGCTGGCTGAGAACAGTGACTCACTGCCGCTGCCTGACAGCATGACACAATAGTTATCAATAGCACAAAAAGATCCAAATTCAAACTGTGAAGTACAGTTCCTACTGAATGGATAGAGCTTTCCTAACATCGCAAAAATGAAAAGCTGTAACTCAAACTATCACAAGCTTGGACGGAGTCATCCTATTAATTTCTGCCCTATTTGCTTTATTATTTGCATGTCTATTTGTATCTCCTGACACCCATGGGGTTTTTTTTCCTGAACTATTTGAGGATAAACTGCATCCATCATGCCCCTTTACTACCAAATGTTTCAGAGTTTATTTCCTAGGAAAAAGAATTCGATACAATCACAGAGCAATTGTCAATGTCGGGAAATTTATCACTGAGAGAAACTTTTCTATCAGTGAACCAATATGACCTTCAATAGCATTCGCCACCTTCTGATGCAGAATTCATCGCGCGTAGTTGCCAAGTCTCTTTGGGAGTCTTTTGAAAATGTCCTTGGTGCTCAGGGCCAAGCTTCCACAGTTGTGTTCTTTTTGGGTGAATTTCAGAAGTGAAGACTAAATTCTACTAAAAATCTTAGCTGTATATTGGAAAATAAGTGTTTACTTATCTTTATAACCTGGAAATTGCTCTGCTTCCAGAAATTGGATCTGAGATGTATTTTGTCCCAGGTTATTAACATATCCCAGGGACTTGAGTATACTAAGTGGCACACAATGCCCTTACATTTGCAGAGACCTGAGGTTGGTAAGACAGCATCCAGGTGCTGAGGGAGACCACCTTCTCTTAAGACTCAGGGGGCTGGGAACATAGCTCAGTGTAGAGTGCTTGCCTAGCCTGTTCAAGACCCTAGTGTGTCTGAGGTGGAGGTTGGGGTGTGGGGCAGAGATGAAGGAGGAAGATGAGGAAGAGGAGAGGGGAAGAGGGCAAAGAAGAAACCCCCCTCAAGACCCTGGACCCAGGGCACTAGAACTCCCCACAGTCATTCTGCTGCAGTCCCTCTGCTTTTCCCACTCATCTACCCCCACCCTCTCTCCACCCACACAAAACTGTTGAAGAACAACTAACCATGGTATCTCTTAGACCTTTCATAGCATGGTCCCTTCCTTGGAAGGGCTGAGTTGTCCCATCCTGGTAGCATTTAATCAGAAAGAACAAAAATATCTGACCACAACCAGAACATTGGTGACGGTATGGGCCTGAGAAAACACATTCTGGGGAGGAAAAGAGGTCAAGAGCATGATGTGGCACATGTCTAGACTTGCCAGCCTGGGCAGACATGACTGAGGTGGAGCAGCCCCGCCCCTCAGGCTCCCCAGGCAGCGTCTGCGGAGTCCAGCGCTGTCCTGCTGAGGAGGGCCAAGCTCTGCGTGGCCTCAGGCATGGCACCGGCCCTGGAGTGGGCAAGGGCAGGATGACTGGGCTCATGGCCATCGTATCAGCTGTTGTTGACCTCCAGGGGCCCCCTACTTTACAGCGCAACTGTCAGAAACTGAACCAGGTTTGGGACCTCACTGAGGCGCTGCCACTCACCCTTGATTAAAAGTGGCTGAGCTCTTCTGGAGCACTTCCTGGCAGGAGCTGTGCTGTGTGTGCTAGCCCTTTTAGTTCTCACAGCCTCACGGAGTAGGGATAATTACTATCCCGCAGATAAGAAGGCTAATGAAACTGTACATGATGGTGCAGCCTGTTATCCAGCTTTCTGGGAGGCTAAGGAAAAAGGATCGCCAAACTCGAGCCTAGCCTGGGCAACTTTGCAAGGCCATATTTTGAAATAAAAAGTGAAAAAAAGGCTGGGGATGTGGCTCAGTGTGAAGGTCCTGAATTCAATCCTTGGCATAAAAATAAAGCTAATGAAAGGCTGGGCAGGCCTTTACTGGCTCAGGAATCCGTGCCCTGCCTGCTGTTACTCGATCCTTGTAGACTTCATTTCCACTCACCATGACCTGCTTCCTTGTTCGTCATGGAAGCTGAAGAGTCCAAGCACCTGGATGAACTCAGTGAGGCCTGGGGTGACATTCGAAGTCTCTCAGTCCCAGCATGGGAAACATGGAAGCCCTAAACCACTCAGTGAGGGAGACAGCATCCCTCAGCACCACTTAGCTGCTCCTTCACCCGCCTACTGTCACCTGACCCCCAGCCGTGACCACAGATGTTTGGAATATCTGCTTCTGAGCAGATGCTGTAACTTCTGTGTCATTCACTCTTTCCTGTCTGAAAATCCTTTGACTTCATCTTTTTTGGGGTTTTGCTTTCCATCTTGTAAACAACCTCCTGGGTATACACAGATATACACAGTTTTCCTGACCTCCTGGGCCTCAGTTTTAATTTATTTACCTAAACATTTGGTATTTGGTTAACTTTCTCCTTAAAAGTCACCTCCAGGTTAACCTGTTCTCATAGCTCTAATTTATGAAAACGTATTTTCAAATTCTGTTTCCCTCACTCCCTGTAGACTTCAGAGAATGGAGACCTCAGAGTGCTGTCTAGCTGACGTCTACACAAAAGCGGTCCTACGTCCCCGTTCCCAATTCTCATGGCTTCTTCTTGATGGTCCAATGAGTCTCAAGGTTTTATCAGTTCCAAGTTCCCACCCTGTCCTCCTTGTCATCTCTGTCCCAAGCTTTTCCTCCAGGGTAGGACAATAAGTGCCTCCCACTAGTTTCCAGAACACTAGTAAGCAGGCACTTAGCTTGTGCAATAGTTACTCAAGTAAGGTGTCTATAGTGAACAATATCAGTACCTCCTGACTACCGAGGACTTGTTGTGTACAGAACACTCCAAGTGGGTTATCTAGACGAAACCATTCCCATAGTAACTGAGTAGGGTAGGTACTGTCCCTTGCCTTTTCTTTGCCTGTGAAAATTTACTGGAAATGAAAGGATTGGCTGAAGATTCCCCCATACAGCAGGACAGTTGGGAGTGAGCCCAGGCCAGCATGGCCACAAAGCCGTGGCTGGTACCAGCCTGCTAATGGGCTATACATAGCTTGGGTTTTATTCCCCATTGATGGTCAAAATCAGTAAGGAGGGTTGGGGAGACAGCTCAGTGGCATAAGCACCTGCCTCACAAGCACAAGGTCCTGAGTTCGATCTCCAGTATCATAAACAAATAAATAAATAAATACAATTCTTAAAAAATCACTAAGGAATTTTTTTTTTTTGGTGGAACCGGGGATTGAACTCAGGCCCTTCGCTTACCAGGGAAGCACTTATTCCACTGAGCCATCTCCCCAGTCCCTCACTAAGGATATTGATCTTATTCTTATTGTAGAAAATTTATAAAGGTAGAACAATTATTTAAAACACAATTGCATAATCACATTGGATGAATGCCCCCTAATGAATAAATAGTAACATTTTGTCATAAATTAAGAAATAAAATCTTAGTAATAAAGCAGGTCACCCCTGTTCTTTTCCCAATCCTATTCTCTTACTAAAGATGATCAAACCATATCAGTAACTTACGCAGACCTGAGCCATGTGATTAAACACTTAGAACATATATATGTATCCATATCCGAGGCATAATGTTGCCTTTCAAAGGTTTAAACTTCAAATCAGCATCGTCATGGTGGTTGTAGTGACTCAGCAGCTTAGTCACTAACGCCACGCCAGGTTGATCTGTTTGTGTCTAATTCACATTTGTAGCTTTCACTGTTGTACAGGTTCAACACATGAATACACGGTGACCTTCATTGCTTTCTAAAAGCCTTCGGTTTCATCAGTGTTTCTCTGTGATAACCAAGGCTCTGCTAGGTAGCCCGCTCCCAACTTGTTCATATCGGCATGGCTGTCTCTATATTCAAAAGGAGGCTTTTATAGTTCATAGGTAAATTTCTTGACAATAAAATAAAAAGGTCCTCCAAAAGACACCTTCTTCTTCTAAAGAGCCAACACAATTTACACTGCAAGCACTACCATTATAAACACGCACAACACAGCTCAGTTATCTCCTCTGGCGGAGGCAGGCTTGGTGTGGCTGTGAGCGAGGCCATCACAGCTCTTAGGTGAAGGAAAATGTGTGTGGATGTCTTTGGTGTGGTTACTTGCCACAAGACTTTCTGATTCCTTGGGGTACTGATACTGACCTAAAAGCAGAAAGCTTTAATAACTGTCTTTTCCGTATGAAGCCAGGATTCCAAGACATGGGGTCCCAACTCGGCCCCAAGTCACTGCTAGACCCTCTTTGGTAAGATCTCAGAGACCCTCTGGTCTTGTGGACCTCAACCATATAGTCTTCTCTGGAAAGCATACAGCTGCCAGACCCAGATGGCAAAGTTTGTTGTGGGGATATTGCACCCAGAGGCACCTCAGCGTCTCCCTTTTGCCTTGTTGTGTTGCCCAGAAACGGACCAGCTTGGTCCTGTGGGGTCAGATCCAGGCTTGTGCATCTGAAAGCTAATCTGGGCATCTCTTGGTGGTCTAAAAACCAAGTAAGGGGAAAGAGACTGTTCTGCTCTGTCCATGAGAAGGGGGCAGGTGACATTTGCATTGCCCTTTGGAGTCATGGTTGAGCTTTAGTTTCATCCACTATGACCCCTTAGAGTGGTGAATAAAGAGGCTGTGCCATGTTTTACATTATGTTAGCAGAGGATGCTGGGGAAACTGCTAGGGGAGCTGCTGGTCCTTGCTTTGTAGAGCTAACACTGTACAGCATGGCAGCTTCTCCTTGGCACCATGAGTTCAGGACTCCTGCTGCTGTGGTTTCCAAGTGTGAGTGGGCTCTGGCACCAGGACCTGGCCTTAGCCCTTCCAAGGAAGAGCCGCCAATTGCTGAGCACCTTGCCTTGAGCCAGGCACTGTGTGAGGCACATGGTTTACGTGTGGTTAGCAGAATAATGACCCCAAGGACACCAAGGTTCTATCTGCAGAATGTGTGATTCTGTCAGATTGTATGGCACAAGGGATTAAAGCTGCAGATTGACTAAAGATTGCCAGTCAACTGACTTCTGAATGAAAGATTATCCTGAGTGTTCAGGGTAAGCCCAGTGCTATCACAGGAGTCCTTTAAACCTGATGAGGGAGGTGGGAGAGTCAGAGCCAGAGTGAGATTGGAAGATGCCGTGACGCTGGCTTGAAGATCAAGGAAGGGGCCATGAGCCAAGGAGAGTAGGCTCCTGCCAGATGCTGTAAAAGGCTAGGAAATGATTTCTTGGAGGGGGGAGAGGGCCTGCTAGAACCGGGTCAGGAGTCCAGTAAGACCCATTTTGTGCTTCTGACCTCCAGAACTCTAAGGCAGTAGATTTTTGTTGTTTGAAGCCACTCAGTTTGGGACAAAAGCAATAGGAAGCACATACAATATGTCAACTTCTTTGGCTTTCACTCTCCCCTGAGCAGCTACCATTGCTGTTTTCCATGGATGAGAAAATTGCAATTGCAGAGAAGTTTTGCAACGTAGAAGACATTACAGAGCCACACCCTGGTCCAAGCCCAGAATGGTGTGATGTTAGGCAAATTGTCCACATTCACATGTGGGTCAGGGCCAGGTTTGGGTGTGGCCAGTAAGGCACTCACTGGGGGTGCAAAATTTAAGGGAAGTACTGAAAAACTCAGGTGTTAAATTATATTTTTGTGCAATGTTTTAAAATCAAAAGCCACAGTTAATAAAATTTTAAATAAATTTCTACATCTATAAAAGTAAATTTTATACCCCAACTTTGTGGGATTCTGTGTGGATTTAGTTTTCAAAATCCACACAAAACACCTTGTGAACACTTAGAGCTCATTAAATGGTGACATTGTGGGAGCGCAGTTGGGCAGCTCGAAGTATAGAGCCCAACATCAGGCTGCTGTGGGTTGAGTCTCAGCTCTACCATTTACCCAGAGAGGGATCGTAAGTAAGTTGTTTAGTGTCTTATCTGAGCCACCAACAGACTCACTCACAGTGGTGTTGCTTCACTTCTAAACTCACTATGCATGGTGTATCTTGTTTGTCTGTCCTAAAATTCTTCTCCATCTTTTATTTTGACCAGGTTGTTTACCTTTAGCGAGTTTCATCTTGTGAAAACCTTACTTTTGTGGGTCTACTTGCAACTAAACAAAAATATCCAGGTTATGCCAATCAATGAGACTCTGCTGACCTATTTTAACAGGTAATATTATGTAGTTGTGGCTGATGAAAGCCACATACGCTGGGAGTTTGTTATTGTTGTTCGTAGTATCATGGGACAAGTATCAGTGATATTATTTTCATAGCAGCGTATAAAAGGCATAGAATGCAACTATCCCTACAGGGCCTAAGCTCAGAGCTTACCTTTGGGCCACTGGAGTGTTTGGAAAAGTAAATAACACGTGGGATGATATGAGATGACTGCGTGCTTCTGGGAACTTGAGTTTCCAGTAGTAGACATGACGCAAATTTCCTTTTGCTCAGGAAAATTACCATGCTACACTGGCCTTACAAACTTCACCTTTTAATGTACTTAAATAAGACCATTTCATTCTCATCTATTTTTCACAATGTATAAAATTCTGGGTTTTCTCTGGGAAAAAAAAAAATCAACCCACTCAAATGTGCAATGATTTCATAGCGTTTTCCCAGTTTCTTATACTCCCTAAACTTATAAGATCTAAAATTCATATGCTTTAGCTTCTAAGTGAAAAGTGGCAGTCACATCACTGTAAAAAGCACGTTCTACTCAGTATCCTAGTTTATCTGCTTAATTCTTAGGAGTTGATTTTTATTACTCCCATATTATGGATGAAAAAAGTGACAAAGAAATATGTCTGAGACCACACAGAGTGATAATAAGGAGCTGACCTGAACCCAGCTCTGTCCAAGCACAAGAGGCGCTGCTGTCCGTTTAGAGCAGCAGGGTGTGTTGTTCCTTTCTGGTGTCCATGACAGCTGTTCAGTGGTAGTGCCCCAGGTACGCAGTTAGAAAGACCCCAAGGCTGTCTCCAGATGTAGTGCAGTGTTAGCCAAGTGCTTCTAAAATTACTTTGAAGGCCACTTTCTTTTTGTTTCTCTGATCCTTTCTGCCAGTGAGTGTTTTCTGTCCATCCAATCAAGAGTGTCCTCTTAGCAAGGTCTGTTGTGGCCAGCTAGGGTGGGGGTGGAGCATGGTAGAATGAAGGTAACTGCTGGGCCCATTTCTATGTCTCCTTTGCTTCTGTGTCAGTCACTCATTGTCACTGTAACAGAATATCTCAGATTATAAACTTTCATTTTGGTTCACAGTTTCAGAGGTCTCAGTCCATGGTTTGTTGGTGTGTTATATTTGGGGCTGTGTTGGGGCAGAACATTGTGGGGAAAGTGCATACAAGAGCGAAGCTGCTTACCTCATGGCGGTGGAGAAGCACAGAGAGGAAGGGGCTCCAATGGACGGCACATGGCCAGTGACCTAACAGTCTTCCATTATTCTGCCTCCTCAGAGTTCCACCACTTCCCAGTAGCACCGCAGGCCAGGAACCAAGCCTTTATCACCTGGCCACTGTGGGGACATTTCCAATCCAAATTATAACACTTCTGTCAAAACTTTATGAAATAATGCTTACCTCATCCAAGCTGGCTGACAAATACAGAGGCGCTGAAGCCACAGACGGTCCCAGATGGCTCTCAGAGAGCCCTTCCAACACAAGAACTCACTGGTAGCGACACCTTCATCATCAGGCTCATGTTTGTTTTCCTGACATGAGCAGGAATGGGGACCTCCAAGCATGATGTGGCATGTTCCAGGAAGGAAAGGCGCACTGTTTCTTTTGCACATGTGAGTTGAGTAGACAAATGAGTCTTCACATATTAATCAGCGGTTTGACCTGTGTAAGCCAAGTTTCATTTCCACTGTTTTGAAGCATTGAATCCATTCCTGGAACATCTTGGCACCACGTTAACTAAAAGCCTGTTTTTTTCTGTCTGTTATTTGGGGAAAGCTATATTCAGTGCCAGAATTACATGTAGTGTGCTTAGTTTGTGTATAATTTGCTTTGAACCCAAATGTTCAAGTCCTCCCTCCTCCCTCTTTTAATAGCCCACAAGACAACCTTTCCAGTGAGTCACACGCACCAGGGGGACTTGCTGCTTGGCTGCAGGTCAGCTCTCATCCTGAGAACTCTCCACATCAGGAGATAGGAAATGAGCTAGAGTTGGGTGATTCATAAATGTTGTGTTTTGGGTTCAAGAGAAACATGTGGGAAGGGGGAAGCTGAGGTGTATGGGCCCCTCCACCAAAGGTGCCCCTCCAGGGCACCCCTCAGGGCTCCTCCCTAGAGCGTAATGTGAAGGGGCACTCCTCCTCTTCCTCCTCCTCCCCCCTCCCCTCCTTCCCCTCCTCCCCTCTCCCCCTCTTCCTCCTCCTCCCCACCCCCTCCTCCTCCGCCTCCTCCGAGTTTTCCATCTCCCTCTGAATCCACATGGACTTGGTTCTGACCCCAAGTGTCAGCCTCACATCTCAGCATCCCATTTCCCCAACCCCCTGCTTCTGCACAATGTCTCTTGTAGAGAACCATTTGCTCGTACCCAAAAGTAATACTGGTATCTTAGCAAAGGACAGCTGTCACGGCTTTTCACACAGCCTGCTAGGGTCCCTCACTCCCCCCTCTCCACTTCTGTCCTCTATAGGGAGCTTGGATTAGAATGGGAGAAAGGGGAAATCCTCACCCAAATTCTTGCATCTGCCCATGACCTCTTAGCTTGGAGGACCATGTAGCTCATTTTTAGAACTGTGAATGACTCCTCCTGTCCTAGCTCACTCTTTTGTCCCAGAGCAGTGGCACCTCTCAGGTGACCCCTTATCAGAGGCCTCCATCCTGTAACTATCCCCCTTCACCAAGGGATCAGCCTTTACTTCTCCTGCCCACACCACTCAGGGCTGCCGTGCGTCATGTCTCAATCTGTTTCTGGTGAGGGGCTCCCTAAAGAGCCTCGGAGACAACCCCTTAAGGTCCTTGGTTCAAATCATGCCTTGTCTCCCTAGATGTATTGTAGAAGCTTAAAGACAAGGTTTATGATCTTTTACTTCCACCTTGCCTGGCACCTTTCTGGGCATAGCATAGTATATCGAATGGTGAGGCTCCATGAACTATTTTTATGTGGCTCAACTTTCTTCAGAGAAGTGTGTCTTAATATGCTGGCACAAAATTCAGAAGACATGATGTTTGTAGCAACTTGAAATAATAGGAATGACAGGCAAGAATGCAGCTTGACAGATGGGTAGTATGATTCCTGGCAATGGTGGAGGGAACCTTGTGTGTACTCACTGTCAGTTTGGGCTTGGAATAGGTCACCGCGACAGTGGAGCTTCAGTGACCAATGAGGCCACAGGACAGGGCTAACCAAAGAAGATCCATGGGAAGACATGCCAGAGAGTTTAAAGACAGGAGACAGAATGCAGGTCTTCCTTAGAAATGAGGAAGGTTGGGTCCGGGGAGACGGCTCAGTAGAGTAAGCACTTGCCTGGCAAGTGCAAGGCCTTGAGTTCAATCCCTGGTTCCACCAAAAAAAAGAAAGAAAGAAAGAAAGAAAGAAAGAAAGAAAGAAAGAAAGAAGAAAGAAAGAAAGAAAAAAAGAAATAAGGAAGGTAATTGGCAGTGTGTAAAGTTGCAAAGATTGATGGAATGATTTAAGCAGCGGAATGGTGGATAAGCCATCTTGTCCATCCAAAGCAGGCAGATGGACATTCTGAGGCTGTCATGTTTTAGGGATCTCCAAAGTGGGACTGTCATGATGTGACAGCAGTTGAATAAGCCTAGAAATGACAGTTAACAAGGGCCTGTGAGTCTACTAGATAGAAGAGGGCCTGTACCTGTGGAGCTGGCGTGGCCAACCTAGCACCTGAGAAGAGGGCTGGGAGCAGTAACTGAAGAAAATGGCTCAGAGAATCCATTTCTCATCTGTCCTGGCAGCGTCCTAAGGCAAGCTAGAAGGAGAGAAAGATGCATAGCCAAGCTTTTCTACTCCTAGTTTTTTTTTTTTTAATTGATGTTTTTCTCAATCTTTTGTTCAGTCATTCGAGGAATATTCTCTCTCTCTCTCTCTCTCTCTCTCTCTCTCTCTCTCTCTCTCTCTCTCTCTCTCTCTCTTTTTTTGGCGGAACCGGGG